CCAAGATACTTAAAGTCAGACTTTATTTCTATTTCACTGTCATTGATTATACAACGGTCATAGAAATTAACGGCTTCATTTAACTTTCTTTTACATCGGAAACTAAAATTAGCAGTCTGACATTTGAAAGAATTGAATTTAAGACCACTTACTGACTCCTGATAGAAAGCTGTTGATCTTAGTATAGTCCAGCTGGGAGTTAACGGTCACTGAAACAGTTAGGTCGTCCGAATACTTAACAAAGTAGATATGCGAACACTGCAGTTGTTGATCACAGAAATGGTGGATATTAGATAACATCACATGATTCAACGGCATGCTGGAAATAAATAAAAATTGCTTCATAGCTCATCGCCAAGTAAATAGTCTATTTGATGATATCACTGCGTATTAACAGGTTAATGAAGTAGCTGTCAACCCCAATTTACTACATTTACTTGTGCTACATACTTGGCGTTTAGCGGTATACAGACTTGCACCTGGCTAAATAAGGCGACTTTAGTGTATGGAACAGTACGGAATTATTAGTCGACTTGTTAAATCCTACTCAGTTTTTACATTGTGCTCTTGTGTAGAAACGGACGCAAAATCCTATGAATGATTAAAGTAACAGTCTCATACTACTAAAGTGAATCTCCATTCGACTAAATAAGCTTAACATGCATTAATCAGAATTCACATATTACAAAAGCTCATAGTATAGCGACGCGCTGAAGAAGTTCAAAAGAAGTAGAAATTAAAAGTATATTAAACATTTCATTGATTTACAAAGAAAATTCTGATGAAGAGTATTAGCGTTAGTCTGACCGATTGACATTTCCGCTGATTTTATGTCCGACAACCTCCATACACCTAAAATATAAAGGACATGTAAGGACTAGAACCACATGAATTTATAAAAGATAATTCTGCATATTAACATACAATGTGAATACACTAATTCTGTTAATACTAAGTATTATCTCATGCAAATAAATGTATTTGTAGTCCACGGCTGGTATTTATATTGAAGCCGTAAGCACCAATAGACCTCATATATTTTCCAGTTTTAGAGGATTATACGCAAATTACAAGACAATCTCCGAAACATACATAGTGTTGAGGCGTCATTCTGCCATCTAGCTTACTTGCAGATCAACTTCACACTAAATGCTTTTGCATTAAATGAAGTATTGCAAATGTGTAATTCAGAAATTGATCCACAATCTCAGTAATGTCTAGTGAGCACAGTTTTATGAATCGTACAGAAATAACATTCTATTATTTAGTTAATTATAGCCATCAAATATAATCTGAACATGCCTCAACTCTAAGCAACTATGCCCAGTTTTAACAACATAGAGAAACACTTAAACTACTGTAAGATACACAGACCTGTTGTGTTGATGGGAATAATAATGTCATGTAATGCAACCTAGACATTAAATCGTGATAATGCATCTGTACTGCTTTATGTAAATGGAAATTTCAGCAGAAATTTATCTCCACTACTGGTGATCAAAAATATTGCGGCATTAAGTATACACTGTCAGTGGAAATTGTATAACAGACAACAGGTTTATTATAATAATAGTAAAGCTGAATAGATTCATTTCTCATAATCACCACGATTCATGTGTATAATCATACCGTGTAATTAATTAATGTAATAAGTGGAACAGCAAGGAAATTTAAACGAGTAATTGCCTTCTCCACTGCGCTGCACTTGCAGTAATCATGACAACCACCTACGTTTGTTAGCCTATCAGTCAGCTAAGTAGACAATGGCACAATATTAATACATTTGTGATACTTTTGTACATTGAATTCACATAACCCATACTACGCTGCACCAATCAGTGGAAATATATATGAAATCCACTTAGAGATAACATTTCAACCTTCCATAATTCTTGTCCAACCACAGATGGAGTTAAAACACATCTACATGATAACTTGGGTTCCCACAGACGATTCTATTAGCATTTACAGATGATATCCAAGTACTAATAGAATTCTTTTGTCAAAAAGTACTGTTCTTTACACGAAAATAGGCTGCATTGATATCCTGAGACGTGAATTCTTCATTGAATGACACTATGCCGAAAGGTGCAGCTTCTAAATAAAGTAGACTATTTGTGTAGATGACATTACCCTCCAACCATCCTATCTTTTTCATTATAGCGATATTCTGACGCAGTCTGTCTGAAACACTAATCACTGCAACTTATATGTTAAGAGTGTGTCGCAGTCAGATCACATGACGCGGACACCAACATAACTAGCCGGGAAATGGGAATTCCCATCAATCCAGATAAAATATAACACAATTTTATTAAAACTTGTTGACAAAATCATTTTCAAGCGAAATTTCAACAGAACGTGATATATAAGTCCAGCCAACAATACGTATATCAACTATTTGTAAATTGGTCGCAAATTACGGCCGTCTTAGTACATCATCTTTTGCTAAAACTGCTTTATTTCATCGACTTTTAGCAGGAATACAAGCATAAAAGTATGTAAAACAACGAATACCTACCTAAATTTAGAGGTTTTTCCAATAAATACAGCCTGCAGACATCAGCTGATCAAATGCCCTTCTGTCGTATACAGTTTACCCAACCATGGCGTACAAAGGATGAGAGCGCACGAGTGAACTTGAGGTAACCAATCAAAGAAAAGTATTTCTGCACAAAATATGATGTATATTTACAAAAGAGGTCATGAAAACACATCAAAGAGAGTTTCTTTCTCTGATATGGTCTAAAAATACGTCTCAGTTACAATGAGGATTATCAGTTGCTAAGTTGGACTAGTCTCCTTGCATGCATTCACCGAAGTGACTGAAGATAGGCAGCTTTTGTGAATCGTTTACCTCTCTTCTACAAAAGCCGTTGGTTGAATTACTATGGTTTGCAGTAAGAGCTTCGACGATCACTCTCCAGGAAGATTCGGATGATAAAACAAATATAAATAAATGACATCAACTATAAATCTATCCCTAATCGTAACCCTAACCATAATCCTGAATCTTACCCTGGATTTAACACTAGCCCTAATTACAACCCATATCCTAACCGTAAGCCTAACCCTAATCCTAATTATGACCCTGATCCTAGCTCTAACCCAATACTTACCTTGACCCTAATCCTAATCCCAACGAACTATAAACATATTGTCGAAACAGTACTGAAAAATATAATCTAGGTGAAGTTTGCATCTTGGTTGGTGAATAGCGTTGATATTTTGGTTATGGTAGTGACAGGTGCCGTTAGCCAACAACTACCATGCGTTCAAGGTCATTGGAGCGTTCGCAATCCCTAGGACGCCATTCTTGAACTTTTCCTTAAAGAGGATATAAAAACAACTTGTTTCTAAACCAACGCAGCAACGGACATCGGTGATACAATTAGCGGGGGTTTGCAATCAAGCCACTCGAAGAAGAGTGCCTGTAAAGACAGGAGGCAATTCCACGACACTGAAAATTGAAGCAGAATAGGGCTCAGGTTAAACAGACCACAGAAAATCACATCGGATTTCCATCAGATTTTCAAGTTCCTATCCGGTTAGAGGAAAATGCAGATGAAACCTGGGAAAGATAGTTAGGTCAACCTTATTAACAAAGAGGGCAAACAAAGACAACAATGGACAGTTCACTTCAGAGGACTCTTGAAAATGCCACCACATGCAACTTGTTCGGAAACACCAACGATCGACCTAACGGAGATACAAGTGAACAAAAATCCTCCAACGAAACCGAAAGTCTCGAGTGCAATCATATTACTGAATCCCGTGAAGAAGGCAGGAACAGATGCACTCAAAATTAACCCAGCGACCGAAGACGTCATGTACAGCACACAATCGAAAAAGGTGGAGAAGGATGAAAAGGTAGTTAGCGCCTGCAAGAAAGTCTAGTTTATTAAGATGTAGGTTATCAAAGAAATTCGCCAAGTGTATTAAACATCAGCCGTCTCAACGTCAACTAAAAAAATTAACCATGAGGATTGAAACATGTGTTATTTTCCAAGGGACAACAGCTCTGCATCTTCTCTGTCATGTGACTGTCTAGTTAGACACACTCTTCAAATCTTTGTCAATAAATAGAGGTTCCGGCAGCCGTGAGTGATATATTATAATTTCGCTAGTCGAGGTGGTGTTAGGGGTAGCCTGACCACCAGGTCAGACGGGCCTAGCACGCAGTGTAGCTAGCGTTCAGGTCTAGCAGGACTGCTAGCCATACACCAAACATGAGCGTTGCACATAGGAGAACCCAACTGGAAACGAGTACAATATAACTGAAGCCAAATTGATACCTGGAATCCTAGAAAACTGAGAAAGAATAGAGACAAACGCCTCTGCAAGAAATGGCACAGAATTATGCTGTTGTCCACGCCGAGTAAAATACTAAGTCGCGTCATCCTGGAGAGAATAAAAAATGTACTGCATGCAGAGCTCCACCTCACCAGAACAAGCTAGATTCAGGAAAGACAAATCATGTGCTGATCAGATTGCAACTCCACGCAGCATCATCACAGCGCAAAGCATAGAATGGCAGTCAAACCTGTACCCTAACTTCGGCGACTTCAAAAAGGCCTTCGACAGACAGCGCTGACCAAAAAGTATACTGGAAACTGTCTCAAGACTATGACATGCAGTGCTCAAATCTTTATCAACCTCATTCGATAGCTATATGGCGATGCCGCGTATCAGTTGATCTATAACGGAATACCCACGGAAACGTTTGAAGTGAATACAGGAGTAAGACAGGCTGGATGCCTGCATCTATTGGTTTTTCACAGTTCATTTGTTTTTCTAGCCATTTTGGGATATGCTCTCCCACCCTCACATGCAAAGCGCGATTACTCCTCCCTATGTATGTATGACCACATCACACACACGAACACTGATAAATAGTGTGAGATGTGACATAATCACTTCGTCAGAGATCAACCCGTTGGCACTGGCTGATGCAACTTCCCAAATAAATGAAGTGGTCAACACGCTCCACCACCCTCTATTTCTAAGCTAGGAGTCAATGTTGTCTAGCCTTGTAGCATCATCTTACATTCGACGGGAGCAAATCCCATGCCAAATATTCGAAGATTGCTGTCCTTCAAGGTGTTCAGAAGACTCTGCTTTATTTTGTCAGCGTCTTCACCTAGAAGGACTATGTCATCTGCATATTCTAAGTCAACAAGATTTTTCCCTGGTAACAGGTCAATCCCTGAGTCTCTGAAGTCAGTTAGGGTCAATTCTATTAGTACATCTATGATGAAATTGAATAGAAATGGGGATAGTGGGCATCCCTGTCCGACACCACTAGTTGTCACCACTTCAGATGATGACTCGCCATAAGCTCTTACCTGGCTGCATGAGTTCGAGCAGACTGCCTTGATCAGTGCAATGCATTTTCTCGGCATTCCTTTCACAGCCAAACATCGCCATAGTGCCTCTCGACTGACAGAATCGAATGCCACCTTTAGGCCAAGAAATATAACGATTGTTGGATGCCGGTAAGTATGCCTATGTCCCAGAATCTGTTGAAGGGTGAAGATATGATCAATACACCGTCTTCCTGGTCTAAAGCCTGCCTGGTTCTCTCGCGTTTTTCCGCTCGAGCACCACTTAGTCTATGTGTCATTATTGAGCCTAGAACAGCGGCGTGATACAAGGTAGCGTTCTTGGTCCTACCCTATTCATTGTATTCATAAATGATACTGTCTCTGTGATCAAGTATGGCAAGCCGTACCTCTTTGCAGATGACCTCAAAGTTGTATATGATTTTGACTATTATGATATAAATATTGCTAGTAAAATCCAACAAGACCTATATAATCTACGTAACTGGAGTGAAAAGTGGCAGTTAACGTTCAATCCAGCGAAGTCTGGGATAACATACTTGGTACGTTGGGAACCTAGCATGTGTCTATACATGTACGGTGACCTTATTTCAAACACGAACACCGTCACAGATCTCGGTGTGACATACTCAGATCTTAACTTCACTGAACATGCAAATAAGGTGACATCTGATTGTAAACGTCTCACCGGCTTTGTGATACGCAACTTTTACACTCCAGAAGCCAGATTGGCTATATATAAGATATGTATTCGCCCCAAACTTGACTACTGTGTCCACTTATACAGTAGCTTTAAATCAGCAGACAGAAAAAAGTTGAAAGTGTCCAAAGATTCCTGACGAAACGCATATTGGGCTATGATCAGCAAATAGAATGCCTTGACAGATGTATTCGACTGGACTTAGAACACTTATGGTCAAGGAGAGTGAAGTGCAAATTATTTCTCTTATTCAAAGTTACAAGAAAGCACTGTAGCAGTAACTCATCCATAACGTGGGCTAATCTCAAATCGTATGTTCTACGCAACCATGACTACCTTCTCAAGGTTAACACCCATAAACTCATCTCTAGAGCTAATTTTTTCACCATTAAATATTGCAAACTTTGGAACCAGCTACCCTCTGAGATTAGATCTTGTGAAAAGCCTGACAGTTTCAAAAGGAGTCTAGAAAGACATATTAACATGTCCGCCCTAGCCCGTCTAAAAGATCACAACTGCTGGTATAGTGGGGAGACAATGACATTTCAGTATTTAACTACGGAAAGCACACTAGTCCGAATGCTAATATAATAGTACTTGGTAATTATGCATAATCAATTCTTGAAATTTGATTGTCATTACAATACTTAAAATGATTAAAATATTTATGCAGCAAATGTTCTCTTGCTTTACCACGCTTGTTTTCCCTTATAACACTCAATTATTGAGCTTAATGTATTCTTTGATAATACGAATTATAATATTGATTACACTCTTATCATATATAGTTTGATTTACTTTAAAGCTCCCTGTAAGACTAACTACGCTTCTTCAGTATACACACACTGCAGTATTGTTAACCAAATGTTAAAATTCTGTTGGTTCTGTGTTAATATCTTTTTACAATATATGTAGACAGGTTACTTTGCAATGTCAAATGTTTACTATATAAAAGACTCATCATAATTTAGTACAGTAAGTCCTGCCAACCGACCTTACCTTCAGTTCTTACTACCTACATTGAACTCTAACTATAGTGTTCTGCTGAATCTTGCTCCACTACTCACAAAACCTATTCTTTTTACTCTTTAAGGGTTTAACATCTTATAAACTAATCTGTTCATTAGGACGCATGCACACATATGCAATATGTTCATAAATCTGTATGTGGAGATCTATTGGAAGCACTCGCTAAGAAAGCTAGGGAAATGGAATGTGAGGTACGAACGTGTCTGGAACCAAGCATTATATTTGCTGTAGCCATAACAATCAAAGCCTAACATCATAAAGGGAGGGAGGGTGGTGCATGCTGATCAGTAGTTATGGTGGTGGACACTAAGACGAATCGCCCCATTCTGCAGGAACGGCAATATGCAATTTGACGGCTCGAGATTTCTATGAGGGCTTGAATCTTTATCTTGAAAAAGATAACAATGATCGCCTAGACAGATCATGCTTCTACCTTTAAACATATACCATTCGGTCAGCCTATTGCGGAGATGCGACCACGTGGGCTCTGCAGAGATTTATGCAGCATCTCATAAATTAACATGCTTTCCCTTGTCGTATCTTCGAATATCACTTAACAATGTCTCATCTCATTCATTTTCTAATAACTTCTTCACTTGATCATTATGTTCCACTAAACCTAACATTTTATAGCTCTTTATGAATTTGATTCGACTTATTTTATTCCTATTCTCCATAGGGTACGGTTGTGCACCAAATACACAAAAAGGTATGAAATAAAAACAACCGGCTTGTGGATAATTGTATTAAAACCAAAAGTGGACATCATGATAGTAAGACCTATATGGGTAGCATTATACATTGCAAATGAAATTTGTCAGCCTAGGGATAATAGTCTTCCATTGTATTTCCTTTATAAATGCACCTGTTAATAACACATTGCATTTACCTATTTCATTACACTTTAATGATTCACCTTAGCACCTTTACTTTTCTAAAACAGCTTACTATTCCTTGTAAACGTTGTACTTACCTCAATATTGCTTGGTTATCGTTTGCCTACAAACACGTGTAACAGATATTCCACACGGTCACAGACAGAGAAAGAAGAAGACGCAGGGTGCGGTGAAAGGTCTATATTATGAGCATGCAAAGTTTAAATTGCGCGGTTACAAGTTAATTATCATCTGTTAGAACAAGTCCAGCTCAACATTCCTCTTCTTGTTCCAATGAATTTATGCTAGCATTGGTTTCTGCAAAAGAAGAAAAGAAAAACTTATTTAGTGATATTATACTGGTTTTTGTCCCACTACATTGCCTCCCCCCTTCTGTGGGCACTGTCCTCAGTGCCTGATGGTGGTATAGCGTATTCCGTGCCTCCGGCAGGCGGCGCCTCAACGAAGCTAGTGGCAGGCGGCTGTTGGGAGGGGTTCAGCGGCTTCTTGGCGGCGGCGGGATGATGCGGTTTCAGTTGGTTGTAGTGGGCGGAGATGAGAGCATCTTGAGGGCGTCGTAGATTCCGCAGGATGTACGTAGTCGGGGGTCGGTGTTGGACGATCTCGTATGGTTCTTGCCATGGCGCGTAGAATTTTGGGCACGAACCAGCGGGGACTGACAGTTGATGTTGCCAGACGTAATCAACGAGGGAATACGTGGCTCCGCGAGCTAACCGGTCGTAGACGCTCTTCTGGTGCTCTGAAGAGGAGCGGAGATGACGGCGCGCCACCCTGTATGCTACCTCCAGGTGATGACGAAGATGTCATACCTAGGGTATGCAGTCGATTCTCTCATACGGTAGCATTGGCGCCTGGATCTCGACTGGTAGACGGAGTTCACGCCCGAACAGCATCATAGCTGGAGAAAAACCCGTTGAGGAATGCACGGAGGAGAGACAAGCCAACAAGCACAGGACGTCGTCGCAGGTGTTTTCCGGAGCGTTATGCAGAAAGGCACGGAGAAGATTCTTAATGGTTCTGTTGGTGCGTTCCAACAGCCTTGTGGATGGTAGGATGTCGTGTGCGTTTCCCGAATGGCGAACGTATTGCAGATGTGCGCGATATGATTACTCTCGAAAGCAGTGCCATGATCGGAGTGTAGATAAATTGGGGCACCAAAACGAGACACCCACGTATCAGTGAAGGTGCGACCGGTCGTCAGGGCATCCTGGTGTTGCAGGGGGACAGCCTCGCACCACTTGGTGAAATAGTCTACCATTACGAGTATGTAACGGTTACCGCGTCTCGACGCTGTGACTGGCCCCATAATATCTATCCCCACTCGGTGATTCGGAGCCTCGGTTAACATCGGAACCAATGCTGCTCGCGAGACTGGATTAGGCTGATTAATTTAGGCACATGTAACGCAATTTCTGCAGAATTCAGTGATGTCGTGATGAAAGAGTGACCAACAAAAGCGCTGACGGACAGCGTGTTCGGTTTTCCGTTGGCCAGCGTGGCCAAGTTGCTGGTGTACGAGATGTATTACCTCCGGACCTTCAGACGTGGCACGATAGGACGAGGTGACAATGGCGGTTCGACTACATACAAGACGTTATCAATCAGGCGTAGCATACCCCACTTACCACAGATGCATCCGGTTGCGTCAAACAGACTCCGTAGTTCTTTACTCGACGGTTTATCGTTCCCGTGAAGTTGACGTGAGTAAACAGGTTGGATGTCCGTGTCAGCCGCCCGCAGTGCTGCCCAATCAACATCTAGGCCTGTATTTAGTATAGCATTTACCGGGGAAACGTAAGGCGGCAGACGGGCGAGGGCATTAGCGTTAGCGTGCCGGAGCCCAGGACGATACTCACAGGTAAAATCGAACTCCTGTAAACGCTCCTGCCAGCGAGCAACCTGGCCTTCGGTTTCCCGAAAAGTTTGAAGCCACTTCAGGGCACGATGGTCAGTGCATGCTCGAAATGGGCGTCCGAGAAGGTAATAGCGAAAATGTTTGAGAAAATGGACGAGAGCCAGCATCTTTCGGCGCGTCGTGGAGTAGCGGGTTTCACGTTTGTCCAGCTTACGGCCAGCATATGCAATAACCCGTTCTTGGCCATCAGGCGCCACTTGGTAGAGGACAGCGCCAATGACAGTAGCACTTGCATCAGTATCTAAAATGAAGGAGCCAGTGAATGGGGACGTGTCAGGGAATGCGAGGACGGATGATGATGTGAGACGTTTCTTCAGCTCGTTAAAAGCGTTTTGGCACTCACTAGTCCACAAAAATTTCCGACCCTGTTCCGTTAAGCGATGCAGGGGTGACGCTATAGTGGCGAACGCGGGGACAAAACGGCGATAGTACGACGCTAAGCCCAGAAAGCTGCGGACGTCTTTAGTACACTGCGGTACGGGCCAGTCAGAGATGAGGCGGGTTTTTGCTGGATCTGTCTGGATGCCGTCTGGTGAAATGCGGTGACCCAAGAAAACAACTTCTTGCTGAAGGAAGGTACACTTA